TGGTACGGATCAAGTTTTGTAACATTTTACAATATAACACAGTGTTTTAAATAAACTGTTTGTCAGTCGTTTAATTAACTGGTCGTTGTGGAGAGGTCATTTTGGTAGTTTGGGACGTGTTTGGGAGGCCATTGCCGCTGTAGAAAGGTTAAAATAGGAGTGAAAGTATGGACTGTCGGCTGGAACGAAACTGAAAAAGCGGCTGCTATAAAGTTTTGGCCGTTACTGGAGGTTTGACTGTAATATTGTTGCGGCACAGTTGCCGGAGCTAAACTGGGCGACCAAAAGAAAGTACAGATACATAAAAGGCTTAAAAATTGCTTAACTGACAACCAGAGTCCCCCTTGACCAGGGGTAACGCATTTGCACAACGTGCGAGTGGAAGGTCGTGGGTTCAAGACCCAGGGGGGACTCGGAGATTTTTTTTCTCCCATACTCGTTTGAGAGAAAAATAATTTATCTTTTAAATAACTTTAAAGGTTTTTTTTTTGTTGTTTAAGGCACAAGTTAATCTTGAGGACAGGGAAAAGTGGGAGTTCTCGAGAGATGGCCGCTATAGAGAAGTAGGGGTGTAATATGCGTTGGTTTCTTTTTCGGAGGCACAACATTTTTATCTTTAAAATATGCTCATTGTAACATAGCAGTACCCAACACAATCAAAATATATCAATAAAACAGAAACCAACCAGAAACAGACGTTAACGACGTGCGGTACGGCTCATGTTTTGTGACGTTTTACAATATAACATAGTGTTTTATATAAACTGTTTGTCAGTCGTTTGATTAACTGGTCGCTGTGGAGAGGTCATTTTGGTAGTTTGGGACGTGTTTGGGTGGGCGTTGCCGCTGTAGAAAGGTTAAAATAGGAGTGAATGTATGCACTGTCGGCTGGAACGAAACTGAAAAAGCGGCTGCTATAAATTTGTGGCCGTTAGTGGAGGTTTGACTGTAATATTGTTGCGACATAGTTGCCGGAGCTAAACTGGGCCACCAATAGCAACTACAGACACATATAAAGCTAAAAAGTTGCTTAACTCACAACCAGAGTCCCCCTTGACCAGGGGTAACGCATTTGCACAACTTGCGAGTGCAAGGTCGTGGGTTCAAGACCCAAGGGGAGACTCGGAGACTTTTTTCTCCCATACTCGTTTGAAAGAAAAATAATTTATCTTTTAAATAACTTGAAAGTTTTTTTTTTGTTTGTTTAAGGTACAAGTTAATCTTCAGAGCAGGGAAAAGTGGCAGTTCTCGAGAGATCGCCGCTATAGAGAAGTAGGGGTGTAATATGCTTTGGTTTCTTTTCGGAGGCACAACATTTTTATCTTTAA